TCTATCTAAACTATCAAAAGACAATTAACTAAATACCTAGATATCTATTTTAAGAGTTTCTTTATTTCTGGTTATTTAATGGGTCATTATCATAACGACAAACATAACTATAAATAACGTTACTAAAATAAACAGATTTATATAAATATAATATGCTTTGAAAACGGTTTAAATATCTAACAAACCGAAACAAATAATGTAATACCCTTTAAGTACGTTGATCAGCAGAAAAAACCCTAGCCTACACAGTTCTAACAATAGCAGGTATTTAAATTTTACGATAGTCCATGTGACATGGAAAAATTTCTATCTAAATAGTCAAACCCAACGTAAAATAAGCTAAAATATTGAAGTTGTACGAAAATCACACGTACTAAAATATGATTAACAATTTAGTTTTTTTTTTCTGAGAATTTACTCCAGCTTATAAATATACTTTAAATAAATTGCCGAATAATATATTTTCTAATTGAACTTCCTAAGTGTCGCAATTAAGGCGTAGATTAAATTGTATTGTAAGCAAAGTTTGTTCGTATGGTATGATAGAAAGCAATGACCTATGTGCTTAGGTATGAATTATTTGTGAGATTATAAATTGGGGATTTGAGCTCATATGAATACAGTAACTCATAAGTAGTTACCTAACGAAAATCATATTGTGTAATTACCAGTAGCTGTCAATAAATCAGCACATTACTCCACAACTTCAACCTTTTATTATACCTATCATCATCTATGGACAAGAAGCGGACAAAGGGGCATTTACAAACCGATTCGAACCTCAAAACTACGTTCGAATCTTTCCACACAATAATGTTTTAATATCTCTTTTTGATTATACAATTTGTGGTAACAAAAATAAATTAAATTATGGAAAGAAAAATTTAATAGCGATTAAAAAAATAATACATGTTTAATGATTATTCTCAGGTTTTTCCATAATACTAAAATATTATATAAAGTTCGCTCAAACATCTTATTTGAGTTAACTTTAAAAAGTTCAGTAATGTTTTCATTTAGCAATTCATCTTCAAAATTGTCATAATTTTGATCTCTCTCGCTAGGTTATACTCATAAAATGTTGCTGTAGATTAGAACGGTTGCATCTTTTTAACCTTAAAGCCACTTCCACTGGATAAAATAGTACCTAAACCTTCTCTTTTATGCATAAAAAGTTATGTTGCGTATTTGGTTCTAATATAAAATTCATTATATGGATTGTTATATGAAAATTGATTTGTTTGGTGGACTTCTTAAAAATGGCTTTTTTATAATCAACATCTCCTTGTCAGAACCCGCTTCTATTACCTCCATTTAAACGTCTTATCAAGAATATAGAAATATTTATTGCTACCTGGTAGCAAAATTGTCAGAATTTAAAATAATATTCCATAATATTATATAGAAGATTTATTGAAAGTTGTGAAAATTTCCTACTACACTCTGGATATTTGGTATACTTACACTGACTGTTTTTTGTATATAATTGAATGTATTTTATAATTATTAGAAGAATCTGACAACCTAGGCACTATGTGCATATTTTTTAATTGGAATCCGATACTACTATTATTGAATCAATAGCACCAATATCTCTTGAAAAAGGTTAATTAATCCATTTTTTAATTATCAAGATTATGAAAATATTGAACCCCTAAACTAAGTAAATAAAAATATGTATACACCTTTCGGTATAATCATTTATTAACAACTATTTACAATATTTTCTCAGAATATATATCACTGTCGCTTTACTTAATCTTAACCTTTTAAAAAGTCTTTATCATTCTTCTTCTTCTTCTCGTGCCACTCCTAGCGGAGATTGGAAATCATCATGGCCACTGCGACTTTGTTAGCAGCGCACCTGAAAAGTTCAATCGAACTACACCCGAACCATTCACGTAGATTACGAAGCCACGATATTTTTCTTCTTCCCACACTTCTCTTGCCCTTAATTTTGCCCTGCATGATGTTTCTTAAAAGTTCGTACTTTTCACCTCTCACAATGTGCCCCAAGTATTCCATCTTTCTAGTTTTTATCTCATTTAGAATTTCGCATCTTTTGTCTAAAGTTTGGAGTACTTGCGTGTTAGTGACGCGGTCCATCCATGATATTCTGAGAATGCGCCTATAGCACCACATCTCGAAAGCTTCGATGTTTTTTATGGTCAACTGTTTTAGTGTCCAAGCCTCAACTCCATATAACAGGGTAGAAAAGACATAACACCGCAGCATTCGTATTCGTAACTTTATATTGATATCACGATTGCAAAAGAGTTTGCGTATTCTATTAAAGACTGATCTAGCGATTTCTTTATCATTACAAAAATTAAAATGTTCAATTCTGCATTAAATAATTTATTCTCGCACTAAGTTTATAAACATTAAACATCATACTGATCATACTCTCCGATTTCATTAAATATTTTAATATCCATGTCTCTATCCTATACTAAACAATATTTAGGTTATATTTTTGATTTTGCGATAACCTATAACATAATAACGAACTCCAATAAATACAATGTATTTTCCAGACAGCTTTTTACGCAGTACTTTATTTGGCAAATAAATATTTTATATGCCAGATAATTTTAATTTCTTAAGATTTTATCTGTCAGTTTATCTGTTCAGATTTTTCCTAGGGAATATAAAGGGCATTAATGGTAACAATAGATTCAGCAATAAGACCAATTCCACATCAGCTTGAGCAGGTACCCATTCCAATATTTAGCAGTTTACCTATGTTACCATAGGATAATATCGAAACGTTATATGACGAACGAAATGTTAGGGATTTCTCTACGTCATAGAATACCCACTGCTACTATATGCAAAAGATCAGGAGTAGCAGACGTTATTGAAAGGATAACAACACTAAAGTTGATGATCGGTGGACAAAAAGAATTTTGGAATAGAGACCCCGAATACAAGCTAACAGAAATAGAGGTCAACCCCCAACGAGATGGACAGACGACATAAAAAGAGTGACTACAAATTGGATTCAGATGGCGCAAAATCGGACTAAGTGGAAAATCATGTCAGAAGCCTATGTTCAACAGTGGACTTTGGAGGCTAGTTGATGATGATGATGATATGACGAACTACAGACTAATATATTTGAAAAAGACGACAGTGATTTTGAAGAGGATTCAACACGTCCTGAGCGCTTTACTCAGGAAGAGCTATGCAATCTTATCAGAAATTTGAACCTTCCAAAAGATTCTTCCGAGTTGCTTGCCTCCAAACTAAAGGAAAAGAATCTTCTTTACCCAAAATGACATACTACCCTAATAGAGAAAAGCCTTTTGCCTTTTTTTTTCTCAGCAAGACGATATAAGTTTTTTGTAACAATATTAAAGAACTGTTAGAAAAAAGGGGTGTATCGGAGTATACACCAGATCACTGACGCTTTTTATCGACAGTTCCAAACGAAGTTTAAAGTGTGCCCTTCTACATAATGGCAACAAATATGAAAGTATACCGATTGAACATTCTACAAAAATGAAAGAAGAATATAAAACAATATCGCTGGTTCTAAAAAACATCAAATATGAACATCAGTGGGCGATCTGTGTTGATTTTAAGATTGTGGACTTTCTCCTGGACAACAAGGTGGCTATACAAAATATCTTTGTTTCCTGTGTCTTCGAGATATCAGGGCTAAGAACCAACACTGGAGTAGAAGAAGGCGTTCTAGAGAGCGTTCTAGAGATGCTTTAGTTCAAGGAAAAGCTAAAGTAGTTAACGAAGCATTGGTAGACCGAGTGAAAATAATATTACCTCCGTTACATATGAAACTAGGGCTGATGAAACAATTTGTAAAGGCCCTAGACCAAAATCGTCCTTGTTTTGAATACTTGCCCAGCAAATTCCCCGCACTTAGTAAAGAAAAATTGAAAGCCGTAATATTTACTGAACCTCAGATACGACAACTTATACAATATTTGCATTTTACAAAATTGATGACTGAAATTGAATGTAATGCATGGTGCTCTTTCGTGAAAGTTGTGGAAAATTTTCTTGGAAACAGTAAATCGGAGACTTACCGGGATATAGTGGAAGAAATGCTCAATTTAAATAAATACGGTTGTCATATGAGTATTAAAATTCATTACCTCCACAGTCACTTAGACCGTTTGAGAGGTATTAGGTAAGATGGTACACACACATAATGGCGGATTAATGTTGGAGTCTTTAAAGTGACCATCCATTGTAAGAAAATCCTATAAAAGGAAGTTTTTAGGTAACGCCCAATATCAGATTTATGCTGCGATGCTGGTTAGGTTAGGTAAAAAGTTAAGTTTTTTTGGCAGATATGTGTGATGATTTTTTTAAGTTTATTGTACAATAAATATCTTATTTCTTATTCGGGATTTGTGTATTTGATGGGAGCAGCACTACATATATGTAGGTAGTGCTGCGTTAAATTAAACCATATGTTAGAAATGTGATTTGTTGTCGTATTTTATGAAAACGATCTGATAAAGCAAATCTGGTGGCATTTTTGGATTCAGCAGACCCAAATTAACTAGAAACAGTAAAAAAAATTCCGGCAGCAAACTGTGTGTTTACCAGTGTAATAAAACAATTATTAAATCAATGTCTCATGAAAAATGATCAATTTTATAAGTTATGAAATCTAAAAAAATAATGAAAATTATTTTTATATAGGTTGCCTCAAAATTTGGCACCCAGGGTAGTCGCCCTGTTTGCCAGCTTCTTTATCCGACACTGGTAATAGTAAATATACGATACATTTTTGACATCTTTTTAGTCAAGACTTTTACGTTATTACAAAGAAATTGCTTAACTTACTTAATTTACCTTTTATATACCTCAATTTTTTTTTGGACATTAAAAATAATTAACAGTATTTATACTTGATTTTATGTTGTGATTATTAAATTTAACTAAAATAATAATACCATTAATGCTTTGTTTAGACTTATTATTTATATTTACAGGATTGTTGTTTACTGGATTGTTTCTCTTTACAGGTATAATCATGAACCCTAAATTATACTATATTGTGGCCTGCCTTGCAAATTATTTTTTACTATGTTCCACCGCAGTACCAGGTAAGCATTTTTCTTATAGTTATGTATATTAATAATGTTTATCACATGGGAAACAAAATGTTCTTTTGCATGACATTTTATAACTAATTTAAAGTATTTGGTATTCACTGAATTTAACTTTGAAATCAAAAGTTTTCTGAAAGCTCTAGCTTTTTTTGCAATTTGATATTGAATGATATATCTTGATCTCCTTCTCCAAGTGCTATCTCCGCAACGGATGTCGATAATCGTCATAGCCGGTGTTGTCACTTGTCACGGCTGCTCTGAAAAGTTTGATTTGATGTATAATATATACATCCGTGCCATTCTTCAGGTTGCGCAGCCATAATATTCCTATATCACTCTATGTTTCTTTTTTCTTGGATCTTTCTCTACATAATCAGTTAGGGCAAGTTGTATCTCTCTCTACGTGTGATATGTCCGAGATATTCCAATTTTCTTGTTTGGATTGCACTTAAAATTTTCTTTTCATTCTTTATTCTCAGAACCTCTTTGCTTGTGGCGTGTTTTGTACGCGATATTTGCAGAACTCTTCTCTATACTCAGCACTCGAATGATTCCAGTATTTTCATTGATGTCGCATGCAAGGTTCAAGCTTCCATTTCATAAAACAAACTCGAGAAAACGTATCACCTCGTCAGCCTAATTCTTAGCTTTGACTTTATATCTCTTATGCAGAACACTCTCCTTCCCCATTTTGTTGAAATTTGATCTAGCCTTTTCTATTCTGATTTTAATTTCCTGAAAGCAATCATTAATAAAGTTGATTAGCATGCTCTGGATCGGGACCACACGGTCGGACGGTACTCACGGAATTTTTCAAAATATATTAGCATTGGTTAATTTCCCTTGTGATGCGTATACTTGGACGTCACGGTCAGATCAGAACGATCGGCACTCTCCGTTGTCCTCGAGAAATTCAAGAGAAACATTTTCAAAACATCCCGACATGACTTACCTATGACTCATTATCTGTTCTGGCTGAGCGCGCAGTAATCGGTACGGACTTTTCGCCATTTCAATTGAGTTCTTTAAGTGATTGATATAATGAATGCCTGTAAACTAACTATGTTGATGTGAGACTGCCCTGAACTATACATTTTGTAGCATCCGGAGTACTTTAATCTCTTCTTATGGCCAATTGGTTCTCCGATATTTGTCGTTTTTCTTCGAAATTCCCTATACAGGACATTTAAAAGTTCTTTAAATTTCAAGTGGGCCATCCCCTGGATATATTTCCTGAAAATGCTGGAAGAACTTGCAAATATCTTAGATAAAGACAGAAAATAGGGCATGAAACTCCCCTAGTTCCCAAAAACGCTCCTTAATAGACCCATTGGTCAGAGAAGAAGAAGATGATCCAGAACAAGGTTCCTTGATAACATCAATGAATAATTGAATAATATGAAGTGTATTGTGTAATTGAAATAAAAAAGTTGGTATTAGTCACTATAATATGACACACCCTGTATGAAAAGTTATTACATCAAATAATGCGCAACTAAAAATACCAATCGACTTATCCAAGCGTTTTTTTTAACATGCCCCCATTTATTTATTCTCGAATTCTATTCGACTGTTTCACTCTGTATAGTAAAATTTTACTTCGTAATGATAAGTGCTTTTGAGTGACAGTATTATCACACACATTACCAGCATTACAATGTACCTAAATACTGATCACGAAAATACAATAATATCGTATATCTTTTTATCCGCATATATACAATATGGTTTAATCAGAACATACATAAAATATACATTAAGCTATTCCGGGATGTTGTTAATGAAATATAAAAATAAAAACTTTCTACTTAGCATAAAATCAAGGGGACACTATACTTTTTTCCTATATAACTATATAGGTAAAAAGTAAAAGGAAACCAGACATTATCATAAATAAAATAAATTTATTTAACACTTTAGCGTCACAACTATAGTTTAAAGTTAACCTTTGTATGAGTAGTGAAGATCGGTCTAATATATCTATCAAATTAGCCTTTTTCGGTCCATCTTTGGATGTAGGCCTTCCCAATCCTTTTCCATTCTTCTCTGTCTGTCGCTACAGTCATCCTCCTAGAGCCCACGTACTTCTTGATATCATCTGCCCATCTCATTTGGGGCATTCCTCTGCTTCGTTTATATTCTCACGGTCTCCAACTTATAAGAATTTTGGTCCATCGGTCTTCTTTTTGTCTTATATTGTGTCCGGCAAATCTCCATTTCAATTTTGCAACTTTTTGTCTAACATCCCTCACTTTTGTTTTCTCTCTTATCCACTCGTTTCTCTTTTTATCCATTACTCTTATGTGCAACATTTGTCTTTCCATTGCTCTTTGGGTTTTTATGATTTTGTCCATGTTTGCTTTTGTAAATGTCCACGTTTGGTAAGAACAGGGAGTTGGCATTGATTGTATACTTTGGTCTTAAGATGCTGAGAATATCTTTTGTTTTTAAGAATGTAGCTTAGTTTGCCAAATGCCGCCCATGCCAGTCTAACTCGTCTTTTTATCTCTGCTGTTTGGTTTTCTTTGTTAAGTTTTATAGTTTGACCCAGATATAATATAATCGTGAACTTCGTTCTATTTCATCTTGTCCGATTCTCATTGTGATGTCTTCATCTGTATTTGTTATGGTTTTGGTCTTGCTGTAATTCATATCTTTCATTGGCTTATCTTTCCAGCTTCTACGTCCAGCTATTTCATCATTTCAAATAATTTTTATACCTTTTTCTTACAATTCTAATATTTTAAAAGTATCTTCCAGGGCCTGATTGAAAAGTTTAGGTGATATTGTGTCGCCTTGTCTCACGCCTCTATTTATTTGAATTGATTTGTTCCTTCATATACTTTAATTGTTGTTTTGGCTTCCTTATATATATATATATATATATATATATATATATATATATATATATATATATATATATATATATATATATATATATATATATATATATATATATATATATTATTAGTTCCGTGTATCTGTGGTCAATTCTGCTGTTAATCAAAGAACTTTTCACTGCCCAATGTTCGACACTGTCGAAAGCCTTTTCGAAATCTATAAACGCCATATATAGAGGAATGTGGTATTCATTTGCTCGTTCTATAAGTATTTTCATACTGGTCACTTGTGCTGAATCCCTTTCTAAAACCAGCTTGTTCTTTCGACTGGTACCCGTCGAATTTTGTCGTCAATCTATTGGTTAAAATTTATGTTAGGAGTTTATACATTACATTGAGGAGTGTTATAGGACGGTAGTTTTTTATATCTGCTTTATCCCCTTTCTTGTGTAGGATAATACCTACTGATTCCTTCCAGTTGTTTGGGATTCTTTTTTCTTTTAATATCTTGTTAAAAAGGGGATGTAGAGTATTAATTACCACTTTTCCACCATATTTCAGCATCTCTGCAGTTATTTCATCATTTCCAGGCGATTTGTTGTTTTTCATTTCTTTCAATGCCTTCTTTACTGATTTGCTTATTTCTGGCTGTAGCTCTAAGTTGACATTTTTTATTTTAGCCTTAAGTTGGTTTTTAATTTCTTCTGATAATTCTTTTTTTGTTTTATATAATTCTGAGTAGAAATGGTGGATTATATTTATGATGTCATCTTTAACGTTTGTTTCTACTCCATTTACATATTTTATTTTGTTTATTTCAAACTTATTTCATATTTTTGTTGTTCTGTATTACTTCTTCTATTTCTATTTCTTGTTCTATTCTCTTATTTTCTTTTATCATTTTGCTTATTGTTTTATTGATTTCTACATATTCTATAGATTTCCTTTTTGCCTTATTCGTTCAACTACCTTCTTCTATCTATAAGCTTCTTTGTTTCTGTTGATATATAGTTGTTCTTTTTTAGATCCTTTTTTGCTATTTCTTTTCATGATGTAATCATCGTTGCTGTAAGTATGTTGTCTATTTCGTCTATATTTTTATCATCGCTTTCGTGAAGATCGGTAAAGTGGTGAAAATCATAAAGATTACAGATAGTCACACATTCGTATGACCTGTTAAAATTATCACTTCGATATATTCAATGTACTATGGATATATATCGCCCCCAAAACGAGTTCCTTGCTAACGAAACCTCGCGTACAACGTCAATAATTAATAATCTACCTTATCATCTAATCATATAATTTAATCGGAGGCTACTTACTACAGAAAAATTAACTGGAAGAGCAAGTAGTGGATTTATAATACTTTTTACTAACAAATTTAACTCATATTTAACTGAAAAGTCGTCATGGTGGATTTTCTGTCTTGTTAGTCTTCTAACACACAAAAATATATATGTATGTATAACATAAAATTTTGATTTTAAATTTCGATTTTTCGATTTCGTAAGCAGAAAACAGGAAAAAGGCTAGCCTACCGGTATTTTTTGAATTGTGTTTTAGATGAAGAATATGGGTTGATGCCAGATATATTTCAAGTTGAAGATTTTGATTCGTGTATGATATTAAAAGACAAAGCCCTCTACTGTGAAATAACATATGAATTTGCACCCATAAACCCGAACAATCCTCCTGCTATGTGGAAGACTATAAAGGTAAGTTACTGAAAAAAAAAATATTTCGGCATTAATGTTATCTAATTTGCTTACAATAATGGTCAAAAAGTGTATTTCTTTATATACTATTATGCAATAACAACACATTAATACAATTATTCAATCGGAATAAAACACTAAAAATTTTATGTGCTGTTGATTTATCTGTTTCCAGTGTTCTTATACTATTACTATAAGATCTGGATTACATATTAATCAGTTCTTCATTTTATTTTTAACTTAATTTAAGTAACCATTTACTACATTTTACTTTTCCCAGAAAGATTTTTTTAATTTGCTTGAATTCTCGGCCTGGGATTACTAAAATACTTTCTCCCACTTTCTAGTCGTTTCGTCATTACTGAGGACCGTGATTAAATATATACATCGTGAGATGACAGAACTATTTCCAATAACACAAAGATTAAAATAGGGTGATGAGCTGGCACCAACAGTGTTTAATTTAACACTAAACGGTAGAAGGTAGAAATAACACACTCATCAATAAATCAGTTTAACTGTTAACATATTTCAGATGGCATAAATACCATGAGCAGTACCAAAGCAACAGACGAGAATCCGATCGGGGAGAGCAACATGAAACACCCTGACAGTTTACAAGTTAGAAAAACTAGAGAGCTTTATCTATATACTGGTCAACATCACAAAGGAAAACATTCATTGATGATGCAGAGCTTAGCAGAAGAATCATCCTAGCCAATACGGTATAGGTACTTTGCTATGAACTAGATATTTAATTCACGTCATAGTCATTAAAGGACTAAGATACGAATCTACAAGACCATAATCCGACCGATAGTGAGCTATGGATGTGAAACTTCAATATTAACTCAAAAATCTGTAAATCGCATGTACATTAAAAAAAAGGTACCTAACCCAACGAATACTAGGCCCTATAATTGAGAACAACATGTTACTAATCAGATACATTTATGAAATTACATACAAGAAACTATCTTTATCTCAGTATGTTCGCTTACAGCATCTTCACTTCCAAAGAAACAAATGCAAGAATTCAGGGGAAGAGATAAATATTGGGATACTGAGAAAGCGATGGGAGGCTGATGTGGATAAGGACGCAAAAAATCTTTTGACAGTAGATGGTGGAGGGAAGTGGCTAAAGATTATAATGAATAAAGAAATGTGCTAAGAGAGTCCAGGGCTCAAATCAGGCTGTTTGAAAGATTCGAACGTGAGTTTGAGGTTCGAATCGTTTTATAAGGCTCCTTTGTTCGCTTCTTGTTGATCGACGATGATAAATTTAATAAATGTTGAAGTTATGCAGAACATAAAATGTTGATTTTATTGACATCTACTGGTAATTACACAATATGATGTTCGTTAGGTAACTACTTATGATAGACTGTGCTCAAATGAGCTCAAATCTCCAATTTATAATCTCACAAATAATTCATACCGCAGCACAGAGGTTATTGCTTTCTATCATACCATACCAACAAACTGTGCTTACAATACAATTTAATCTAGGCCGTAATTACGACACTTAGGAAGTTCAATTAGAAAATATATTATTCGGCAATTTATTTAGTTGTAGGTAAATGAACTAATTATTAAAATATTATACGATATGGTTTTAAAATGGCTCACTTATACACAGTGAAACTATAAAAGATTAAGAAATTATAAATAATGTGAGATTACAAATTAAGGGGTTAATTTGTGATTGAACACAGTAGAGGCATATTATGGAAGATAAAGGATAGAGAGTCGTGATTTTTTAAACTGTCACTGATATTTTAAAAGCATCTTATTAGAAAAAAAGCCTTTACCAACAGTCCTAAAATGACTAACCTACAGAACACTCCCCAATCAGTAACAACAAAAATCCCATCCCTACACATAAGCACTGTATGTTATCGCCATACATTAATGGTTTTTTTCGAACAAAAGTCTCAAAAATGTTATCTGGGTATAATATTAACTTTGGACATAAATCACCAAAAACATCCGAAAACAAAAAGTTTTTGAAATTAAAACCTGTTGTCAATAAAGACAGTCATTATCATCATTATAATCGCCATCATCATTATCGTCATCATCCTGGCCTGCTCTAAGATTCGTCGCCATTTTGTTCGGTTTCGGGCGACCTATTGCCATCTTCTGATTTTTAATATACCTAAGTCAGTCTCTTCTATAAAGTTTTGTAGATACTTATGAATAAAATACTAATGACAAAGCAAATACCCAACGGTTGGAACGAAGCAATAACACTGTTACTATTTAAGAAAGGAGATAAAAAGGATCTAAAGAATTACAGACCCATAACTTTACTAAATGTGATGTACAAACTATTAACCAAAATAATAAAAAATAGATTAACAACTAAATTAGATGGATACGAGGCAAGAGAACGAGCCGGATTTAGAAAGAGCTTCAGTACAAGTGACCACCTTTTAACGATGAAAATTTTAATCGAAAAAACTAACGAATATCATATCCCGCTATACATGGTATTTATTGACTTCAACAAGGTATTTGATAGTGTGGAACACTGGGCAGTACAGAATTCCCTACAAAACAGCAGAATAGACTACCGATATACCGACTTAATTACAAATATATACAACAAGGCAACAACAACTATTAAGCTAATGAAACAAACGGATCCTATTAAAATAAACCGAGGAGTAAGACAAGGAGATACCATCTCGCCCAAGCTATTCAACCAAGCTCTAAAACATGTTTTCAAACGACTACACTGGGATGGCTTGGGAATTAAAATAAACGGGCAAAATCTGAATCATTTACGACATGCTGATGATATTGTATTATTAACAGAAAAAAGTGAAGAATTACAAAGAATGATGGAAGAACTAGATAGAGAATCGACAAAAATTGGACTCAAGATGAATTACAGTAAAACAAAAACCATGACTAATCAACCAGAAGAACTAATAATTACAGTGGCACAAACAGGAATAGAACAAGTAAAAGAGTATATATATCTAGGCCAAATTACTAAATTAAATAAAGAAAATCAGACCGAAGAAATAAAGAGAAGAATAAGATTGGCCTGGGCATCATTCGGAAAACTGTCTTATATTCCAAAGAATTCAAAATATCCCCAATACCTAAAAACGAGAGTCTTCAATCACTGTATACTCCCTGTCCTCACATATGGCTGTCAGACATAGACGTTTACAAAGGACAATATGAAAAAAATAGCAAAGACAGAAAGATCCATGGAAAGACAAATGCTGAACATTAAACTATCAAACAGAAAAAGAAACGAATGGATCCGTAATAAAACAAAAGTCACAGATGTCTCAACCCAAGTAGCAAAGTTTAAATGGAAGTTCGCCGGACAAACCCTAAGGCAGAAAGATGAAAGATGGACTAAGACAATTATACATTGGAGACCATGGAATCAGAAACGAAAAAGGGGAAGGCCGAAAATGCGATGGTCAGATGACCTGAAGAAACACGCCGGGTCAAAATGGATGCAAATTGCCCAAGATAGAGAGGCATGGAAGAAGGAGGAGGAGGCCTATATCCAAGGATAAATGTTTAGGGCTGTATAGATAGATAGATAGAAGTCAGTCTCAACTCCATCTAACCACCTATGTAATTCGTGGTCGGCCTGTGTCTTTTCTGCATATAGGTGTTCATATGGTTAGCTTTTTAGCAATTGTGTTATCTGGCAGTTGCATTATGTGTCCAGCCCGTTTAAGTGGCTGTGTTTTAATGAATGTTATATGCTCGAATATTCCAAAAAGTCTTTCATCCCTCTGCGTTAGGGTCCATGTTTCTGTCCCATATGCGAGGATCGACCCCAGCAGTATTTTATGTATAATAATTTTAGTTCTTTTTTGGATGTTTTTTGGGTGGAATTGTTTTTGGAGCCCATAATATGCACTATTTAAAAGGTATATTTGTCTTTTAATTCCTTCGTTTGTTTTATTGGTAGGAGTCACTAGCGAGCCAAGGTAGGTGAAGCTGTCAACACGGAATGGGACGTTTCGGCGTCGCCGTTTCGGCGTGGCCATTTCGGCGTGGCCGTTTGGGCGTAGAGCCGTTTCGGCGTAGGCCGTTTCGGCGTAGGCCGTTTCGGCGTCGGCCATTTCGGCGTCAGAAATTTTATTTTAGTTGACTAAATACCTACATTGAGGTTTATTGGTCAGGCAATTTTTTGGAAAAAAATCTTTTAATATAGTTATTTAAATACATTGGAGTTCATTGGTCACACAATTTTAACATTAATGGTCAAGTAGAAAAATAAACTAAATATATTTCTTTTATAAACATTTTGTTATATTTTATTCTGCAAATACCTATATTGGATTTTTTATTAATGCATATTAATAATAATTGCTGTTCTCTTAATTGTCCCAGAGCTAATTAGATGATAACTGACATTTTTCAACTTTAATTAGACATACATTATATGGTATATAGACGGAGAATTTTAATATTGTTAAAATATCTTTTTTAAGCAAAAATATTTGCAGAATGTATATTTTTAAAAAAAATTAAATTATACAATATTTTCTTGAAAGGAATCTGCTTTTAAAATATTTACCATTAGTTAGTATAATAATAGTTATCCCTATATTTATTGCAGTTTCTTCGAAAATTTAAATACAAAATTCTATAAATCACATAATAATGTTATTAACATTTCCTCGAAAACTAAATTACCTGTTAATTCCAAATGACATTATCATGTATCAATTAGTTGTTGATTTCAAAAATTACATTATAATGTCATTAACGAGAGATGCAAGTTATTTGTTGATTTTAAATATTCGAAAACTAAATTAGTTGTTGATTTCAAAAATTACATTATAATGTCATTAACGAGAGATGCAAGTAATTTGTTGATTTTTAATCTTAAGGGAAATTTTAAGTAGGTACCTACCTATTATTGATTTGATTGGTTGGATTATTGAGGGTACAGCTATATAAACAGAGATCAGTTTAAGAGTTTATGTAGTGTCTTATAATATTTCATAGTAGTATTTATACGATATACAGACGAAGAATTTTTAAGCTATGGAACGAAAAATTTTATCGACCAGAGGAAGAGAGAAATTTACCACTGATGGTTTCATGTATGTTTTTGACGCTGTTAGTAAAAGCGATGAATCCCTAAAATTTTGGAGGTGTGAGAGGAAACAAACGTGCAAAGCAAGAATACATACAAGAGATGGTGAAGTCATCAAGAAAGTAAATGTTCACACTCACGACTCCTCGGCGATGGACGTGGAAGTAGCACAAGTTGTTACAAAAATGAAAAAGCGTGCTACAGAAACAAACGAAGGGACAATAGTGGTAATCAATGAGTGCCTGAGAAATACAAGTCAAGCTTGTCATGGTCGGCTCCCAAACACTGGCGCGATGAGAAAATTCATCAGACGAAAACGTAACGAAGTTCATGCAGCCCCATCAAATCCGACAACTGTTGAAGAGTTAGTAATTCCCGAGTCTTATCGTGTTTACACGTTACAAGATGGTGTAGAAGAAAATTTTTTATTAGCAGATGATGGAGAAGGATTGCAAAGAATTTTGATTTTCGGGAGAGAATCGTGGCTGCAACATCTACAGACCTCAGATGTGTGGTATGGTGACGGTACATTTGCTATAGCACCATCTCTATTTTTACAAGTATACACAGTTATGGCCACAAAATATAATGGAGTCCATCCAATATTTTATGCCATGCTGCCGAATAAAACAAGATCCACATATACCCGTATGTTTGAATTGATCAGACAAATTGTACCAAATTTGCAACCCAGAGCAATCCATTGCGATTTCGAACAGGCGGCATTTAAGGCAATGGAAGATTGTTTTCCAGGCGTCGACATCAATGGATGTTTTTTCCATTTGGCACAAAATATGAAGAAACAAGTGGCTGCTATGGGATATACGAGAGAGTATAATGCTGATCCACAATTCGCTTTAAATTGCAGAATGTTGACAGCATTAGCATTTGTTCCTATCGAACATTTAGATGATGCCTTTGCCGTTCTAGCGGAAGCTCTACCTGCTGAACACCAACCACTTGTAGACTGGTTTGAAGACTACTATATTGGACGTATGAACAGAAGAGGAAATGGCAGAAGACCAAGTTTATTTCCCCAAAGGATGTGGAACCTCTACCAGAGAACTCTGGATGGAGAAGACCGGACAAATAATCACGCTGAGGCCGCCCATAGAAGACTCAAGATGGAATTGGGAGCAGATCATCCAACCATATGGAAATTTATAGATGGCCTGCGTCAGGTGCAGAAAGGTCGAGATGTCTATTTCGAGCAACTTGTGGCAGGTAATCTCCCACCATTGAAATTAAGAAAATACAGAGACGCAGATGATCGCATTTCACGGCTTGTGGGAAATTTTGATGCAAACGGGGATGTTTTAGAATTTTTAAGAGGACTAGCACATAATTATAATATGTAAGTAGGTACTTTATTTTAATTAATATTTCGTGAATAAGTTTTGTAGGTTAAATATAAATGTCTTGTATGTAAGTATAAATGTTTCAGAATTTTTAATTGGACTAGCACATATCTAATTATAACATGTAAATACTTTATTTTAATTAATATTTCGTGAATAAGTTTTGTAGGTTAAATATAAATGTTTTGTATGTAAATATAAATGTTTCAGGATTTTTAATTGGACTAGCACATATCTAATTATAACATGTAAATAATAACTAAAATAAAATATTCATTTTTCCAAAATCTTGTTTATTCATTTATTTATATATAATATCTACAGCTAGAAGCCAATTACAGATATTACATTAACTATGAGCTAAATAACAAGCACACACACATAAGTATAAAATTCACATATACAAATCTACCATTAATATTAAAATTTTGTGATCAATGGACTCCAATGTATCTATTTAAATAACTATATTAAAAGATTTTTTTCAAAATAATGTCTTACTAATAGACTCCAATGTAGGTATTTAGTCAACTAAAATAAAATCTCTGACGCCGAAATGGCCGACGCCGAAACGGCCTACGCCGAAACGGCTCTACGCCCAAACGGCCACGCCGAAATGGCCACGCCGAAACGGCGACGCCGAAATGTCCTAGACCCCTGTCAACACGTTCAAAGATATTACTTCCAGACTGTACACAGTTCCTCATTTGCTATAGGATCCTTAGTAACCAACATGCACTTGGCTTTGTCTTGGTTTCCAGTTTTAGAAAATATTGCTTATCTCACTTGCTACGCCCTATTATGTCAATGTCATCAGCGTATGCTAAGATTTGTATACCTTGGCGATACCTTTATCTATCCTTTATCTAAAAAGTTCTAGAATTCTCTCTCTGTATCCAAAAACTAGCTGTTAAGTTTTAGACATTGCCATTCTCGTTAATCGGATAAGTTTTCCTGGTATACCAAACTCACGCATTGATTGGTATAGTACTGTTTTCTTGGCACTGTCGTCCGTGGCGTTGAAGTCGATGAATGAGTTTCAATGTTAAATTCTAATGTTTTCTCGAGAATCTGTCTTATTAAATAAATCTGGTCAATTTTTGATTTTTCTAGTGAATCCAGCCTTATATTTTTCTATTGTACCCACTGTGTAAACTTGTAGCCTTGCATATAAAATATTTGCTAATATTTTGTAAGCAGTTACTAACAGGGTAATACCTCTGTAGTTGTGACACTGTAGCTGGTTGCCTTTTTTATGTAACGGATATATCACGCCTTGATCAGTGTCTTATCAAAAAATTTTGTCGCTACCACTCTTGCAGAGCTTCTTAAGCTATTTTATAGGTTGGGGAACTTCCTCAATGGAAGGTAATATTTTGTTTGGGTTGAATAGATTCCGATCGTTTCGATCTGCTATAAATAAAATATTATAAAAATAGTCAATCAAATATAATTCACAAAATAAATTGTAAATTTCTGTTAAGAGAAAAATTGTTTCTCATTAATAACGCCAATATTTTGTACATTGTGTCTTTCTTAGCTACACCATTATAATTCCTACATTCTGCAATAGTGTCCTTCTTATAAATTGGACTGGTGCCCAAGTTTTTTATTATATAAATATTTTTTGACAGTTGGTACTTGTACTTTCTTTTTGTAATGATTTCTCCTTTTTTTTGGTTGTATTTGTAGATTCTGATACCATACAGTCTCAAAATATCTGGTTAATCTCTACAGTTTATCATATTATATTACTTCTGTCAATTGCCTTTTTCTGTAGAGTACATTTTACTCTACCTCTACAGCAAAATATACGAGTATTGAATATATTTATTGAGTTTGAGAAACTTTTTAAACGGTTTACAAATGCACTATTATCAGTGCGATGGATTTGGAGATAACTACATAAATTGCAAACAGCACGTAAATGACGGTTATTGCTTTATTTTGAATGTTCTTAAAGTTTCTAAAACGATTTTATTTTTCAGGAAGTTAGTTCTTCAAAATTACATTATCGGCACGACCTATTACGGCTCTTTGTGTGTGTCCCAAAATCCTGTCCAATGGCAAAAATATCCAATTCTACCAACGAGGAGTTAAGAAAAGACTTAAATGACTGTATCGATGAAAGGCATAGAAGCTTGGGTTTTAAAGGAATTGTAAAGATTAATGCTTGCAAAAGAGAAAATCCTATATATGAAGTGGATATCGGAGACTGGTTGTTTGCGTAAGTAATAAGTAATAAGTAAGTTGTTATTAGTAATTAGACGAACTAGTCTTAGTACAGAATAGTTGTAGGTATAAATCAGTAATAGTTTTGTAATATTACATAGAATTCGTTTAATGAAGAAAGGGGAAAAATGAACAACCATAGAGCTCCATATGACTGCCAAAATATGAAAGTAAGAAGAGTAGTACAGGAAAAAAAGGTTTGCAAAAAAACCTGGGATAATTAAGAATAAACAGAGAAATATAACAAGTGGCGGTATTTTATATTCACAATTTCCTGTTAAAACTCCTGTTTAAATTAAAAAATATATTTACCTAACCGAACTAAATTTTACATTAATTACATTAATTTTAAGTGTCCGCACTATTGTTGGGAGTTATTTCCCACCGCCCGATATTGCCACACGGTTACCATGGAAACGACAGTCACTATGGTTACTAAAGGTCGATTCAAATACATCGGTCACGTCTCGTCACAGTCCCGGCGCCGAACCAAACAATCCGTCATACAAAATATTTTTTAATAGAAATATGCCGCCGGCATTCACATTCATCAGTTGACGAACAGTTTCCCAGCTGTCAGATAATTAATAGTTCTGTGACCAAACAGGACCGGTTCGGCGTCGGGACTGTGACGGGACTGATGTGTTTGAATCGACCTTAATTCGGACGCCCAAGACGCAGCCCGGAGAGATTATTTACCATTCGATTGATTAAGTATGTGCTTAGATAAGTACTACAAAATTGTTTTGTGTTGTTCGAGTTAAGTTCAAATCTTAAGAAATGACAGTGTTTGGGTGAATTAATGAAACTAAACATTAGTTAAATTTGGGGGTCTAGATTAAAAAATCTCCAGCAATTATGCACAACTAATACTTCGGTTTAGTAGTACATATTATTATGCCAAAAACATTCGTATGCACAACGAAATGGAGTTAAAAAATCGTTACGCCCTGTCAAAAATTATCGATATTTTGAAGTTGTGCGGAAAATGTGGTTTTGCACTATGTGTTCATAACTAGTCTAAAGGTTGGACAAAGAAAGAGAGCGGACGCATAATCGTATGGAACTGACTGAAGCCTAAACCGATACTAGCAGGGTTGCCAGGTCATATTTTATCTCTTCAGTAGATTGAGAATAATGAATATATATTCATAAAGAGATTTTTTTCAAAATTTATAATTGAACACTGATATAATGATCACTTTTTTGAACACGATTTTATCATTACAAATTTTTAAGTAGATCGATATAGTGTTTCAGTAAATTAGTAAATTATAGTTGTTATCAGTAGATTACTGAAAAATCAGTAGACCTAGTAACCCTGCGAGAGGTAGTAGGGTAAACTGTGCAAATACCGGTCAGTGGGTAATGGCGGTCATCCCGATTGTGCGAAATCTATTCAATCTGGCAACCTCCTATAACTGCCAACGTGTCGCTACACTACTCTGTATTCAGATTTCTGACGAGCGTTGAGTTGGCGCAAACCATTGTCATAGAAATATTATTAACCTGTTTTCAGTGTTTTCGATCTTATTTTTATGCTGAGTAATATAAGGTCTTAATTCATTTTTATTCACTTGTAGATCTTAAAATTGGTTACAATTGATTATAATGACGTTAGCTGCCTATTCCTTTTTTAAAGATCAACATTTTAATACATGTTTACGAGTAAAAAATTCTAAGAAAAAAAATGCCAACAGGAGGCAATGCCGGTCAGTTGACGGGTATTACCCCCATGCTATAATTTATACCCTATACTATTAATCCTTAGGGATTAATACATCCATTTTTCGACATTGCAAGAAAGAATAAAAAATAAAAATCTTCAAGGTGTCTCATTAGGTAGAAAATCAGTATTTTCTGCCGAACAAGAAGCTAAAATAGCCACACAAAAAATATTTAGCTTAATTTTTTATGGCGTAACAGCAATAGAACTGAGAAAATTAGCATTTGGGTTTACAAGATAATTTTTCTTGTAATAAAACACCTTTTTCTTGTAATTGGCATTACAAGAAAAAGGTGTTTGATTCTAGTTCTTTGGAATCGGATATTGATATATCATGTGATAACAGTGATGCATACGAAGATAGATGCCTGGTTTACAGCGAGTTTGGCAAAAACAATGAATTGTGGTATATATTTACCGTTTGCTCACGATGGGCTTATTCAGAGTACAGTGGATGGGATTCTGCAGAGAGTTATACCTGCGATGACTGTCAACTATTTTTACATTAAAACACATATTTTTGTTATTTTTTGTTTGTTTTGTAATAAAAAATATGTTTTCACCTTTCTTACTGATTTACTTGAATTATGACCCATTAAGCCACATTCGTTAATCGTTTTATAACAAAAAAATGTTAAATAGATATTGATTTTTATTTTAATAATAACACAAACAAATTGACTGGCATTACCCACACTCATGACCGGTATTGTCCATGTATGGTGACAATACCGGTCAAAGATACTTTTTTATGTTTTGTCTCTGTCAAAGACAAAAATTTTATATTTTTGAAATTAAATGTATCTTGCAATAAGTTAAAACCCCAAATTACGGATTGACGGCTTAAATTTGATTCACAGAGTTTTACTTTTTTTTATATTAAATTTTCTTCTTAGGTGACCGCGATTTGCACACTTTACCCTAATAGGCAACGTACAGGCACCAAATCATGGCGGTCACATCGAAACTGGACTCACTTTGCAAAGGTTAATTAAATGAGCGTTACCTGTCCTCTCTCTTTCCTTATCTAAGGTTTGAAGAGTAAATTAATAATGGTATGTTTTTAGAACTATTCGATTACTCTAAAAATATAGATTCAACACTGTCTATTCACTCAAAAGAATCTTAAAGATTTAAAAGTACTCTATATATCTTATCTAAAAGTTTCTAGCTGGGTCATATTGTTCCATCTGTATTACATGCTCTATCCACCTCAGACCACCTCTTATATGTTTTATTACATCAGGTTCCTGGTATATTCTATTAAGTTCGAAGTTATATCGTCTTCTCCACACTCCATTGTAATTCACTGCTCCATAAATTTGTCTTAGTACTTTTCTTTCGAAGCATTCTAACATGTTTTCGTTATTTTTTGTCTCTTAGTCCAGGTCTCCGAACCATATTCATGGACGTATATACGTCCATGACCATATTATAGGACTGGGCGTATTATTGTTTTGTAAAGTTTATTTTTTGTATTTGTCGATATAATTATGGATTTAAAAAGGAGATTGATCTCCACAGAGCATCTGTTGGCCGTGCAAATTCTGCGGTTTATCTCTTCGGTAGTATTATTTTCAGTGTTAAGGAGCACTCCCAGGTTTACAAATTCGTTTACTGCTTCGATGACGTCGTTTTCTAGAACAAGTGGTAGTAGTATTTGTGGTTGCGTGCTTATTTTCATATACTTCGTTTTGTTGGTGTTTATTATTAAACCCATTTTTAGCTGATTCTTTTAATGCTACATACGTCCCTCGTACAGCGTTTTTAGTTCTCATAATAATATTGATATCATCAGCATAGGCCAGGATTTGCACTGATTTATTATATATTGAACCAGTGCTTGTGATTTGTGACATACGTATTACTTTTTCCAGAGCTATTCTCCCTGGCGCAGCCCGTTATTTGTTTTAAAATGTTCAGTTCCCCCCTGCATTCGTACTCTACATTCAACTTTTTTAAGAATTAATTTTCTTAAATTTACCAACTAATTTGATATTCCTAGCTCTTTCGTTGCTTTGAACATTTCTTTTCTGTTCACAGAGTCGTAGGCTGCTTTTGCAGTATATAAATATGTGATGAGTATCAATACCATATTCCACATTCATAACAATGTTTATTATTAATACATGATGTTTTATAATACCTCTACGCAATACCCATTTTAATAAAATTTTCTATTTTCTTTCCTACAATGTGCTTATATTCCAGAATCGCTTTCTTCTCCTACATGAGTTTTATTTTGCTTTGCACAATGGTGGAATACAAAAATAGGGAAGATGAAGGATTTTATAAAAACACTTCCACCGGTGAGTATTTTTTTTCTATCGTGTAATGAAAATAATAATTTATTATTTATAATAAATAATACTTAATGCACAACAGTTCTTCGCAACTTCCAGATTGCTTCTATTTGCAGATTTTAAACTGATGTAAATATATGCATTACTACAAAATTTAAAGTAGCTTTACATCTCGACCATACAAGTCTATAGTCTGCCAAATATTAAATGAAACTATAAATTACCAATCACTCGTCGTAAGTGGTCAAAAGTGGCCGAAATCACGTGTCTGTCATGTATTCTCGGAAATTTTGAAATCGATCATTGACAGCGCATAAGAAAATATGTTATCTAGCTGGTCACTTTAGATTGTAACAATAGAATATTATATTCTACTTATAATAATAAAAATAGTACATTAGATCTAGTTTATAAAATAAAGGTTTTATTCACAATAATCATGTATAGACTGAGCGGATGTTTGGAAGTCGACTATATACCTGAAGATGTAAAATACTCAAACTAGTATATTTAGTATGTCAATGTAAAGAGTGAAACCGCAGATACTTGTTTGGTTTATATGTACCTAATGTCTTTTAAAAACATGCCAAAAAGTGTTTATTTGGAAGAAGTTAGACATCACATGAATCATATTGTTACAAATACAATCCTTCTATCTCTTTGAGACTGTTTTCCTTTGTTTTGTATGTTGTCTTCATAATTTTCCTCAATTCTCTGTATTCTTGTCTGTTACTATCACTATTATTTGTCTTTTTCTTCTTCTTCCTTTTTGTATGTAGGCTTGAAAGCTTTCTTTTTCTTCAATATTAGCTTCCTAAATTGTATAAATTGTCGCACCATTCTTTTCTTGGTATACCAATATTTTTTCGTTCTTTTGGTGACTTAACTCATGCTATTCGTACTATCTTATCCACTGCCATTCTACTAATGTGTTCGTTCCACTTCTGTTTCCGTTTTGTTACCCGTCCATTTATGTCTTCTATATTACATGCTCTTCTTATGTTTTCGCTTCTGTCTGTATTATTTGTTAAATTTTTTATTTTCATTTTTCTAATTGCTTCTGCTACTTTTTTTGCATTTCTCATTATAAGATTCTTTTGTTTTGTGTTTTCTAATAATTTTCTTCATCGTAAATTCGTAGTAAAGTTTAACACATAAAAAATAATTTCTCGTGCTTGGGATCCTAAACATTTATTTTTCGCCAAAATTTCCACTTTTTCCCAAAATGTATTCGTTCCGCTTCAAAGAAATATTTAAATATTTGACGACACATCTCTTCTGCTTAATGGTCAGAGAATAAATGAATTATCTAATAATATAAGTTTGGTTAACGCTCAATAAGCCACTTCTCGCTTGTCACACTATACTCGAAATACCGCATTCAGAGAGTGACTTACTTTGTACAATAAATTCATCATAATATTGTTATCATGTTTGACTTTTTTAGCTGGAAAAATTATACTCTCATTTTCAATAATGAGCAACTGGAATAAGTTGAAAACTGTTCCCACGGGACCAAAATTCGAAAGATTAAGACCAGTGCAAGGCTTAAGAGTTTATCTATCAATTTTAGTAATTCTTGTTCACACAGGCCTTAGTCAAGTTGCTATTCCCGTTACCAATCCAAAATTTTTGGAGGATGTAAGTATAAAATGTTTATAATTTCTTATTATTATCTATTTAACAAAATTTCAAAGAGATTTTACTTATTCAACAGCTCATTTAATTTGATATAACTTATAAATTATTACACCTCATTTAAAAATATTAAACCACACTATATTTTTTAAATTTTATTTAATAAGGAAGAGGGAGTCCATTAATTATTGACATGACTTAATCTGTTGCAGATAAACGACTATCCAGATTTTTTAAATGAAATTCCAAAAAGAGGAATTTTTTTGTTATCTTTTTTCTTCTTGATGTCAGCTTGGATGGTAATTATGCCCCTATTAGCGAAAAGAGACCAAAATGAAGATTTAAGTGTTAAATTTGTTATTCATTCTATCATAAAAAGATATATTAGGTAAGAATTAATCCAGAGAATTTGCTTTAAAAATTTATTTTATTTAATATGAAAACTATAAATTTTCATATAACTAATCCTGCCATAAACATTGATATATACGCGTATTTGAAAGTCTGCAGCTCAGCAGTTTGGTTGTCCCTAGCAATTAGGATTTCTTGAGCTCATAAACCACACTATATTATAAAATAAAGTGACTCTGCACCTGCACATAAGGCCAAAATTACTCCACAGAGGCTAGACAATCATGTACCCGAATATATTAGTAAGAACATTGACCGACAGCCAGCCCAGACCTTAATTCTCTTAGCTGCAAATTGTAGTCAGTTTTAAAGGGCATGGTCTTTTAAAGGACGTCTTAAAGACGTCGACGTAACCTGGAGTAATTGAAGCAGGTGCTGGTAGAAGCTGAGGACAATTTTCCTATGGATTTTGACATAAAAACTATATTTTTTATCGTATTTTAGGAATCATACGTTGCCGCAGGTCTCTTTTTGGAGATCCCCTGGCAGTTCACTGCACCTAAAGCAAGATCCATGTTTGTGGTTTACTAAATGGGGTCGAAGGTCAGATTGACCTACCAGGGGGCAACTGTGGACATAGAGTCTCACAACGTGGCCATTTATGTTTTGTTACATTTTCTCAGGGGGTATATTAAACAGGTCTATTAGGGTTTTCATGCCGGTAGTAAGGTCGTCTCTCTGAGATATGCTCTCTTTCAAGCCATCCTGCAAGGAAAAATATTTGGAAAGCGAAGTCAAGAAAGAAGAAGCACATCTTGGTTAAAGAACCTCAGAATCTGGTTAAATACATCTGTGCAGCTTTTCCGCGCTGCTGCAGATAAGATAAAGATTGCTATGATGATCGCCAACATTCGTAACGGATAGACACATCAAGAAGAAGAAGTGTTATGATGCCGAAAGTTAGGCTCTGGACGTATTTGTTTTCTGATACTTAGTTAGGACTTTGATATATTTGGTGATTTTATTCGACTTTTGCGATTTGATCCGCCGAAGTTTTTTTACAGGTATATCCTGTAAGGTTAGAATTATGACTGCTTCTTGATGGTAGATATGCCAATCGCATTTCTTAGGATTTTCTGGATCTTCTCGGAATTTATGAAGCGGAGGATGCGGAGGTATGCAATATTGTGTGGTAAAACTTTGATTGTGTCTATTGTATTTTGTACGATTTCTCGGGAGTTTATTGTTTTATAAAAGGATCTTGATTACAGAGGTTGAGCGGAATATCTTGTTTCTGGAATTTTTAACTTTAGGATTCGCTATGTATTTGTTTATAGCTGATACGAATAGGGTGGAAATTGTCTGGGGTATGTTGTTGCAGTCTATTTGCCACAGAAGTTGAGGAAAGCACTATTTTTAACTGGATTTTGTGGTTGTTCTGGGCTGTCTAGTGGAGAAAATCCATCACTGAGGGCTTGGTATTGATCAAGGGCCAGATTTGTTTGATCATAGGCCATATTTGACTTCTGTAGTATTTTATTATAAACTTTAAGAAGTAGTTCAGAGTAATTTCGTTTTTTTTACTTTCAGTGACTTAGGTATATATAGTAACCTTTTTTTAATATGAAAAGTTTGGCGATTCCGGGATTGTAGGATGAATATCTGAAAATATGTTATTTGCATATATGCGTAAATCATATACCTACAAAAGTAGAAGACGATCGAGAAGCTACTACAGTATACGTCTCTATTTATTAAAAAAACCAAATGATTATTGGTGACCCACGCTCTCTCGGTCTTACCTTTTTATAAGCACGTGTTTTGAAAAAAAAAACGGTAAATAAAACTATCAACGGTCAACATCTGTGATTGAGGAAATTTCTAGATATTGTGAAAAAGACAGCAAATATTAGATTTCACGCAAACAGCGCCTTTGTATCTGTTGATACGTATTTCGACCTAATAGGTCTCATCAGAACAGTTATTCAAAGGTGTTCTCAACGTGAAAGATCAATATTTTCTGTCTTTTAAGAAGCAACACTAAAATGGCTTCAATACGGACGCAATAGCGACATCTGACAATAAAACCGTAAAATAGTTTCGAAACACAATTCAGATTTCCGCTTATATCTGTGCTTTCTAAAAATTGCAAAGCAAAACAGACGTTGATAAAGGTGTTAACTTTGCAATTTTTAGAAAGCACAGATAAAAGCGGAAATCTGAATTGTGTTTCGAAACTATTTTACGGTTTTCTGGATATTGGTTCGATTTGCACTTCATACATTTTACCTTGACACCTTGACACCCCAAAGTCATGCCGGATCATAAGATGCCGGATTAGACTAAGTTTTCTGTATATAATATATATATATATATATATATATATATATATATATATATATATATATATATATATATATATATATATATATATATATATATATATTAACTAAAGTTTATTTTTTAGATTATTGCCCACCGTAGCTATCATAGTTGGTTTTTACGCAACTTGGTTCAGACATATTCCGTTCGGTCCATTTTTTAGAGGAATGTGCGGTGAAAGTGAACGATGCAGAAAAAATTGGTGGCCAATATTTTTATTCATTCAAAACCATTATGATCGTTATTTCATGGTAAGTTTTAAATAATTTTCTTTTGAAAGAAGAAAAAAATATTTTTGTGTAATATCCATCAAAATTGCAAAAAACATTGGTTAATAGCCAATGAGTTAAGTTAATAGCTAATACTTAAAACTGCTTGAGTTAGCGTGAGAATTTTGTAGAAAATACATTTCCATAACAATTTTAGGTACTGCATGAGTTATTAAAACATGTCAAGTAAAAAAATTAATAAAAATTGCAAGTGATTTAATATAGAGCAACCATACGAGGATTGTTCGATAACTAAGTAACCTAATAAAAGAAATGACTTCTTTTGACAAAAACCTGACTATTAGAATTATAGAAAATACATTAAAATGATGGAAATACGCCTTTTTAGTTACCAAATGAGACCGTTTTCCTTGATTTTGTCGCTAGGTATATTGTTGCAAAAAACGACAATACTAATGTTTTCCCTTTTTTTAAGTATTCGATACAGATGAGAATCCGAAAACGCAGTTTCTTTAATTTATCGTTTAATTTTATTAATATAATAATTTGTAGACCACGTTTCATTGCGAGTTATGAAACGGAATAAGAAGTCCTGCGAATTGTGTGGAAAACAGGCTAAACTTTTGCCAAGATTCAGTTTTTACTCAGATGTGAGCAGCTCTTCACTACATATTTGAGGCAAATTTATGTGGTGTAGATGTTCGAAATTGCATAGATGATGAGAATTAGTATGCACCAACATACCAGAGAGTTTTCTCTACGTCAAGCTACAGAAATACTATCTAGCATAATTACATCTTCTTCTCATGGCGCCATCTCCTTTCGAAGGTTGGCGATCCAAATAGCAATTGTAGTTTTGGAAACTGCTGTGCGAAAGATTTCTGCGGATGAGCGGTCGAATCATCTCCTCAGCACGATTTTTGGCGTCTTCCTACTGATCTTTTGCCTGTACTTTTCCTTCCAGTATAACTTAAAGTAATTCATATCTTTCGCTTCTCAACACATGACCCAATTATTGCATTTTCCTCTTTTTGATTATTCTTAGTAATTCTTTTTGTTTACCCATGCGACGAGTTATAGTAGACATAATTACATAAGCCATTCTAATGCAAAGAGATTTCAGACGAGCATGGATGGGTGGACGCCCGCAGGGAAGAATATTATCACCTCTTTTGTGGAATATGTATATGGATGGGTTGATTGGGACACTTAAAAGCAAAGGCCCTCATGTCTTGGGCTATACCTACTAAATACTTTTTTATTCTAGTACAAAGCATATTTAACATAACAATTAGGTGTAAAATGTAGTTTAAGTATTGACCAGATTGGTAGGTTTATCCATTAGTCCTTAAAAGTCCAAAATAATAATCTTCACAAAAAGAAGAAAATTAGAGGGCATAGAACCATTCAATCTCAATGGGAAGTAAAGGGGACGTAATCTGAAGGCAGGAAAGAGGTAAAATATCTCGGAATTACAATAGATTCGAGACTTCCCTAGAACCAACAGCCACAACGAATAACCAGAAGAGCGGCAACCATTTTAATGGTGATCAGACGCACTCACGGCGTCTCTAGTATGGTGACCAAAAGTGTAACCAAGAAGCGCAAGTTTGACGCTAAGCAAGGTTCAGAGACTTGCTAACGGGTGCTATAAGAAGCACTCTAACTGTAGCAATGGAAACTTCATTGGACCTTCCCCCTTGCATATTATAGTAAATGGGGAAGCGAAAATGAGTATATATAGACTATAAGAAAACTTGCAATGTACTAGTTAGATGGAGCATTGCAACATCATGAATATATCTTCTTTAGGTGCCATATATAGTGAAGGCTGGCAATGACTTCTGCAAATTTGTCTCTATCCTGTGCTCTTCTTATTAGAGCCTAGGCCTGCCCAATTCTTGATATTACGAAGCCAGGTAATTTATCGTCTGTCAGGACCACTCTTTCCGTCTATTTTTCCTTCCATTATTAGTTGAATTTTCAACCTTTGCATTCAACGTACTAATCCAGAGATGCTTGGATGTGAACCAAGATATGTTCGTCTGTTTCATAGACTACAACAAAGCTTTCGATAAAGTCCGCCACAAAGAGCTAATGGACATCCTCAAAGCAAAACAACTACAACACAATGACCTTCGAATTATAACAAATCTATATTATAAACAGCAGGCACACGTATGCATTAATGAACAAACATCAGAAGAGTTCGAAGTTAAAAGAGGAGTGCGACAGATGTGTGTATTGTCACCACTACTATTCAATGCAACCTCCAAGATCTCCAAAAGCTAATGAACAAGATAGTGGAGTATGGAGAAGAATATGGATTATCAATAAACCCCAAGATAACCAAATTTATGAGGATATCAAAAACCCAAAATAATGGTGAAAGCCTAACAATTAACGGTAGTGCTTTAGAACAAGTTGAAAACTACCACTATCTTGGCACAATAATTAATCACACAAACGATTACTCCAAAGAAATCAAAGTTCGAATAGAGAAAGCACGTACAAGCTTCAATAAAATGAGAAAGGTACTTTGTGCAAGAGAACTAAAATTGGACTTAAGAGTTATGCTGGCAAGGTGTTATATTTTCTTGACTCTGCTTTATGGAATGGAAGCATGGACACTTAACGCGTCGACTGCTAAAAAGTTGGAAGCATTTGAAATGTGGGTGTATAGAAGAATCCTGATATCATGGAGCGACCATGTGACAGACAACGAAGTCACGAGAAGAATCAACAAAATAATGGAAGTATTGGAAACCGTCAAGACACGAAAGCTGCAATACCTGGGGCATGTTATGCGTAATGAGAGATAAAACCTACTTCAATTGATTATACAAGGGAAAGTCCAAGGCAAGAGAAGTGTAGGAAGAAGAAGAATCTCATGGTTGCGTAACTTGAGGGAATGGTACGGATGTACATCAATTGAACTATTCAGAGCAGCAGCATCTAAGATCAGAATAGCCATGATGATTGCCAACCTCCGTCGCGGAGATAGCACGTGAAGAAGAAGATTAGTTGAAGGAAGTTATAACTCTTATGTCCCTTGTCATGAATATAACCAGGGATCGCATATGGAAGATAAAAACAGACTACATCGCCACCAAATATAGAATCAAGGTACCTTTCCATGTAGAGCTAACCACAAAAGAGATATGGAGTGTAATTCCAAAAGACATCCATAGTCCGATGACCATAACTGGTACATAGATGGGACAAAAACGGATGGTGGTTCGAAAGAAGGAGTATACTGAAGGAATAGACACAATGACAGTTTAATTCCAAAGCGAAAGCACATTTATAAATTTCAGGCTGTGATCTAAGACATCCTTTATTGTGCAACGATTATGATTTAATTATATTAGAGATTATGCAAATAAATGGATCAATATCTACATTCATGCAGCTTTAAGAACTCTAACCAATCCAAACTGGTGTGGCAATATCACGAAGAACTTGATCACCCAGCCGATCACCTACATAAGGTCCATATAGAAACGACGTCTTAGGGCCAGTAACCCCAGTTAAGGTTTTTACGTTGGCATGAATTAAATCTGTTTGAAACTTTAACATTCTAAAAATGTACTAGCAACAATATAATTAAAATCAATTTAATAACATTTAAAGGGTTTTTACCCATATCTTTAGTGGCTTTGAACATTTATACCTAGTAGCAGCAGCACTACTGATGGAATATTCATTCCGAAATCGTTCATTGATGTAGCCCGAAAAAATTTTTATAAATATGCATTTTTATAAATTTTTTAATATTTAGTACTTTTACTTCAGTATTTTTTAATTAAAATTTTCACAAAATTTTTGGTATTTTTAATATTTATGATAAGAAAATAGCTAAATAAAATCTTCGTAAAATTCGAAAAAGATGCTACAAAATGGGGTCTGTTGGTAAATCAACTGAATGATTATAACTGTATACGAGAGGAGAAATAGCTCAAGAAAATGCATAGATAATAACAATGCCACAGGGAAAAATTCAGGAAATGAAGAGAGAGAAATATATAAAAGATAATAAAAGATAACAGAGTAGTGGAAGCCAAAGAATGTTTTAGCAAACAAAGAATAATTCTAGGGCATTTCAAATTGGAGCATATAAAACAATAATTCGACCAGCAGTATTGTAGGCAAGTGGACCATGGAAGACCAAGGTTTGAGAGAAAAACGCGTTATGAAAACTCTTCAGAGGTATATAAGTAGCGGAAAGTGAATGAAGAACACGAACAAAGCTATTTTAATATTTTCTTTATATTGTTAATTATTTGTTTGTCGTATTCAGATATAATGTTTTGTAGATTTTTATTTTTTGTAGATATAATAAAGCTTATACATATTCATTAATTGTTGTAGTGCCATATTGTCAGCTGGTATTTGGCAGTAGAAATGCAGTATTATATCATTACCTTGTTTTTATTTATATTTATTTTAAAAAGAAAGATCAGTATTCCTTTAACAGTTGGAGTACTTCTTACACTAAACGTAATATGGGATTTTTTGGACCATTGGAGACACGGTTATCCATCAACACTGTCGGGAAGGCCAGAGTAAGTAAAATGTAGAAAGTTATTGACTATAGTTCTGTATTATTTTACTCTAATACTACTGATAAATGAAGATATGTTTTTGTGAGTTCCTAGTTAATTATATTTATTAATGATTTTCAGTAAAAAGCTTACCATAATAGGTCTGTACCACTATGATGCGTTTACATCACTCGCAAACAATAGTTTAACTCAGCTTGAGAGACTTGCATACTCCTTAATAATGATATTCGGCTAATACAATTCATTGGGAGGAGGAGGACTAATTTGCGTAAACAGGAATCACTTCACCCCACCTCAATGCTCTAGACCATCCACTCCCCCACCCCGATAGCACTCTGATGTTCTGTAGATACTTTCTTATCAGCAAAGTGCTTATCATGTTTGAGTCCTGGGTACAAGGACTCCAACACAAAATCCTAACCCGAACAATGCAGGCCAGTGTAAAGGTCGATTCAGACACATCAGTCACGTCCCGTCACAGTCCTGGCGCCGAACCGAACAATCCGTCATACAAAATATTCTTTAATAGAAATATGGCGCCGGCATTCACATTCATCAGGCGACGAACAGGTTCCCAGCTCTCAGATAATTAATAGTTCTGTGACCAAACAGGACCCGTTCGGCGTCGAGACTGTGACGGGACTGATGTGTCTGAATCGACCTTTAGACGGTCTATACCCGTTATCTCTAGTGACTATCTTTAGATTCTGTTAGTGTTTTTTCTTGCTTGCGCCTTTTGTTAGTGTTTTATTTATTTATTTTTTTTTTGGTCGCCTAAGCCGTTTTTGCATTTTTTTGTAGATCTTTTTGAGGGCTGTCTGAACCATATAAAATCAGCATTCAGCATTACTAAATACACTGCGATGCCAATGTTGGGCGCGTTTTCTTCTTTTGCTAAAGCTACGATTATCTAAGACTTTATTATATGTTTGCTAATATTTGCTGTTCGGTTCTTATGTGCTTCCAGCTATGTCACACATCATACCTTAATATCACCCGCTTTGGGTGATTTTCTAGCTCAGCGAATTTTATTATGGCTGTTTTCTCCATCTTATCCAGTACCCTATTTTGTTTTAGATCTTTGAATAAAAACCGTTCAGCGACGTATCTGGGCACGTTTGTAGCTTTCCTAAGGCAATTATTGTGTGCTGCTTGAATTTCCTTTTAGTTTCTATGATTTGTGTGTCCGCATGCAAGAGATGAATATGTAATTATTATTAGTAGTATTATGCTATTGATGTCTTAATTTTGTTTTCATGGCTAATTTGCTTCTTCCTCCTATGAGTCCTCTTATTGAGGTCAATGATTATTATTGCAAATCTATATTTAGCACATACTTGATGGATTAAGGCATTTCCGTCTTTGTTTTTGCATTCATTAATGTTTTTTTCTTTCTTTTCCTACCTATGGTTTTCTCACATCTATCTTTTCTTCTATTATCAATTATAGCTACCCTTATTCCTTTTAAATACTTCCAGCTTGTAACGAAAATATTTTGCCTACCACATGGGGTACCAATACAAGGGGTAGAAAATTGGGGACTGAAATTAAGGGGGTGGAGATAAGGCAAGCAAAATAATCGCTACTTATGCGAACGGCACTCAGGGTTTGGTAGGAGAGCTGTGGTCGTGAATAAGTAAAAGATAAGGGGGTTTGGAATGGGGCAACTACAAAAAATTAAATAAAGGGGTCATTAATCTTTTGGGACAAACCAAATAAAAATAAACAGGAAACACCTCAAGGAATTTATTATAGGGCGCCACTTGAGGTGCCTAATTATACCTATTACAACCACTAGTTGTAACTAGGGAAATAATTATAAAACATCAAAAACATATCTTTTTCAAATAAAAATCAAAAAAGGGTTAGCTCAAAAAAATAAATAAAATGTTAAGAAAACAAAATTTAACATTTATTTTTGTGTCACCACAAACAGTTACAAAATGGAGAAATACAAGAATATAAAAAACTTACGTGTGTCATCCGCTTACAAACTCCAGGAGTTGGAAATACTACATAAAACTTACAAATGTTACGGCATTACAATTTTTAAATGTTACAATTTCTAAATTTTAACGAAAGCAATTATTGTTCTAAAAAAATATCTGTTTTTACTTTTGAAATTAAACAAACAATAAACAGTTACCTGGATTCACATATTTCCACTTTACGAAAAGAAACAAAAACTTGTTACATCTCTGGATTGGAGCTGCTAGGACGAAACTCTGGAACAAGGGGAAACCAATTCCATACTGGAACGAAGATCTGACGTAGACGGGGTTGGATTAAGCAGGCAAACGACCACAAAAAGCTGGTGGGACATCCTATATATGTCTTCAAAATTGTACCATGCTCTGGTACACCACACAAATTATTTTTTCTACTGCCACATATTTCCACAAAAAGGGCCAAAACAGGATAAACACAAATTCGACGACGAATTCGGACCCATACCTGACAATACGAAGACCCAAGTATGAATTAAGATCCATACCCTAACTCTACGAAGACCCAAGTATGAATTAAGATCCATACCCTAACTCTACGAAGACCCAAGTATGAATGACGAATTTAAAAATTCGTTCCTAACTTGAAAATAAAACAAACGCTGACATAACAAAAACATAACGAAACAACGTAAAAGATTCCATTTGCGACGTATAAAAATTAAAAGAAATCGCCGAAGTAAATATCTTTAAAATAATAAACAACTCTCAAATGGTTTTATTACTTGGCAACGCTAAAAGGATTGAAAACACTTTTGGGTATTTTAACTTGAAAGACACGAATAACAAACATGGAAACAATTCTTCGTTTTATTTTTTAAACATATATAAGGCGATCTCAATATATTTCGTATACGAGGGGATTTCAATATAAAATGCTACAAGCTTTCTTTTGTGTTTTCTGTCATTACCCCTGTCTTGCATCCATAACATACTATTGGTCTGATAATGATTTTATAGATCCTGATTTCCGATCTTCAGTGTGTGTTTTTGGAGGGGTACACATGGGCGAGTAAAAAATAAGCTTTGTTTTCATTTGTCTGTTCCATTTGTACATAACACAATTACCAGATAAATAAAACGGTATTTTATAATTTAATTAAAATAAAGAATTTTAGAGATAGAGAGAGTGAGAGTAAGAAAAAGAGACAGCAAAAACTAAATCTTTCCATGTAGCTTTCTCCTATTTCCTTTATCTCAGTATTAATATTTTTTGTTTTTAGGGAAATTTACGCTATAGTTTTTAACCAAAAACCACAATGGCATGACCATTTTGCAAATTACCATGGAAACGCATCAGGATATATTTTGGGATTGGGATTCGGATATGTTTTCTATACATATAGCAACAAACAAATATTTGACACGAAGGTAATCCTCTCCGAAATTATTTATTAAAATTTAACAAAAGAACACAAGTATGTTGCAATAGTAGTTATAAGATTATTATGGTCATTTTCCCATCTTTCTTCCTTTTTTTTTAAATATTGGTTATTTCTTTCACATCAAGGTGTTTTACCGTTTTGCTGCTTTTTCGTTAGACGGTGTATTTCGTTAATTAGATTTTAAATAAATTTTCAATACTCATACTTTCCTGAAATAAAATTCAAGGTTATTAAAAGTTTTAAAAGAAAATCTCAGTTACCCTAAAATGGGGTGAAAATGATCACTCTAAAATTAATTATACAAAAATATGATACATAATTTAAATATCTTTGAACATATGTATATTAAGTTTAAAGTGATATTCTACATCTTCATTACATCAACCCGTTTTTTAAACATACAAGCTGTTTCTGTCGAATTAAGGAATTCAAGATAGGGCAAAAGGCAATAATATCACTCACTTCAACCGAAAATTTATCATGTTTGACCAGTTTGAAGGCCTTATTTACTTCATCCGTAGATTTATATTTCACTAGGTCTAGGTTTTTCATTGGCTTTTTAAATTTTAGCCACATAGCAATACTATTACTTCTTATTTTTTCTCCCAATTCCTTTACTAACATAAAAAGACCTTCTTTAATGTCATCCTTGTTATAGGCAAAATATTCAACCCCATCATTATTTTCAGACTCATCAAAGTTAGACGTTTCACTTTCCGTTTCGTTATCACTTGGTGGTTCTTCTTTACTGTCGCTTTCAGTTTCATCAGCTTGCTGAGCTACAACACTTTTTCTTGGCTCGACATTTAGTTTGGTATTTCGCCTGGATGATGCAGCTGAATATCTTTTCTTCTCTAGATAATGTACCAAAAATTTGTCGATTTGTTCCTCTATTTTTTCATCTTCTCTTGGTAACTTATTTAAAACTTTCTCCTTGGAGAAAGGGTAAATTCTCGTATCTGCAAAGGAGAAAACAGTAATTCGTTTTATAGCGCTCTTTTCGTCCGCTGTTTTTTTTTTGTCCATGTGCTGAAGGGTAGTGTTTAACAAGTTTGGAAAATCTTTCTTATTTATTGTGGTTAATGTGGGGTGACAGTTTTTCCAATCACTAAGAGTTTCCTTCCGACCCATCTAAAAGGGAGGAAAAAATTTGACATTAAGTGGTTTGGTCAAATGTGTTGAGTTTTTCACCAAACATATAAAGCCCACACCATGGACGTATAAACACAGATGGACTCAGTTATTTACATAAAATTGTGAAGTCAAAATTATTTGAATAGGTCACATTCTCAGCACCTTCAACTGTGGTCACGTTTTGTTTTAAAATTTCTTATTCGCGAGTCGCTGAAAATATTGCTTCGTATTTTATACTCTACAGGTGCTATCAAACCAAAATAATAATTTATTGGTTAGATTAATATATTTAATTGTAATCAAAATATAAAGTGTGCACATAGTGTGCATTATCATTTAATAATAACGTATAATTTAGATATCAATCAATTATTTCATATGTAGAAGCACTGAAAACTATTTATAAATGGCAACGGTTGTTTATATTTCTCTGTCTTATGGATCTATGTCAAACTTCAAATGCTGTTCCATGTTTGTTTACTTTTTAGTAAAAGTTGTTTTTCGATATTTTGGCTGTATTTTGAGTGATATTTGTGAAAAGTGAAATAAAATAAACGAAATATTTACATCCCGATCTCTCATTTCATTTGTAAGTACATAAAATTTACATTATTTAGGATGAGGAAATAAGGAAGCGTATTCGTTTACATTTTAATAGGCGTACCATTGGGTTTATTCATATTCATTAATGTATTAAATAAGATATAAGTTCATGAAATTAGTAGACATTTTTAAATTGTAAGTAGACATCATCTGATTAAAAAAGATCTATTTAGTACCTTTTTAATTTAATATTTCTCATGGATGCAAATAAATTAGTGAAATGAATAAAACTCATTTATTTTTCTATGTAGGTTTCCAAATAATATTGACGATCGAACTATTTTGGTAGCAAATTTAAGAGAAAACATAAAGATTTTTTATTGTAGCATTATTTTGATACCTATTAAAAATTAACTTGAATTCAACTATATTTTATTGTACTAATTTTAAAGCAAATAAAATTGTATTTTAATTTTTCTATAAAGACGTGATTTGTTAATAGTTAGACTCTCGTTTTTTTAAATTCTTTGAACATGTTTTTATACATTATTACTACTTCCAATTTTTAAAATCTGAATAATTACGCGCGAGTAAAAATTCAAGCACGCTTATGCTCATTGCGGAAGCATCACATTCTATCGAAGCTTTAAAACATTGTGTGTTAAAGGTATCTTATTGCTGTGTCCATCTATGTTCATGGCCCACATTGTTCGCATAAAGATATCATCTTATCGGTAAAATATGAGGAAAGGTTATCTCATATGATGATTTTTTGCCCTTCAAGACGTTTTGCATGTGGTAAAAAGGTCAAAGTAAACCAATCCGTAAATGTCTGTGAATCTATCCATCCATTATGGGTGCGATTATATCGAGAACCTACAGAACAGCATCCGTCAGTACATCAAGGTGATCCTTTTGGACCATTTTCAGTCCATTGTAATCACACTTTTTCTGCTTTATAAATTATATATGGTGATAACATCAATCCTGAAGCCGAAGCACACATTATTATAGTCGTTGCTGCTTTAGTAAAATTAAAAACCTGTTCTGTATATTTGGTGCCGAATCTTGTGCATTGGTCTCGTCGTAAGTGAATATGTAATTAGGATAAATTTGAATATACCCAGTCAGTTGCACGTAAATTGTTTTTGAAAAGAGGCACTTTTATTATATTATTCAAAATATATTCAAGGATATTATATATATATATATATATATATATATATATATATATATAATATATATATATTCAATGAAATTTTATATATATATATATATAATATATATATATATATATATATATATATATATATATATATATATTCAATGAAATTTTATTCAAGTATAATATACCTTAGTATGCAATGTAAGCGTTTATTTATAACATGTAAAATTAAATTCAACATTTTATTTTTTGTAGAATAAATATTGTACACAACTTTAAGAACTAAATACATTTCCCCATATATTTATGTGATTGAAATATTATTTATAAAACTTTATGAACGCCATATTTTTAGTGGAAGAAAATAGTTTGGGCTATTCTTTCATTTGGTCCCGTTCTATTAACCACCAATTTGCCATTGTACTACGATGTGGATGCAACTCCTGCTCACTCTGCAGTATGGGTAGCTTTAACCAAACCTTTATTTTCACTAGGAATGGGATTTATGGTTTTAGGACTTGCGGAAGGACTAGGAGGTAATAGACAATTAAAGTTAACATACTTAAACGTATCTTCTAACATTTAATCATGTATAGTGGACAACTAACTGTTAAAATAAGTGAAGGGTATAATGTCTGTAATGCTTTAAATCTATTGACTACACAGTTTTTCTACTAAGGTTCCAAGGTTTACCTTTCATCAGGAAAACTTGTGAGAAGACTGAATTGGATCTAAACGCGTCGGCTAGTTGGCAATTAGATTAAAATAATAATACCAAAGTATGCAATCAGTGACCTTTTAACTAGGAAAAGTTGTGACTGTTCTAATTACAAATCCTATGACAGACATATGTAGTGATATCGTTGTCGTTGAAATTCTCGTTTACTGTTCCATCTCAGTTACTGAGTTTTCTTTTCATTGTGCCTTCTGTAAGCGAAAACCTCCACTTCTCACCTCGCCCCTCTTATCCGTCGACAAAGTATCTCAGACTTGTACTTCCTCAAGAGTGGATTATTCAGTTCGACGTTAACCTTCTCTCTAAAAGCTGGGAACTTCTGTGGGAACATGTGGGCGAAGAAGCTGTGCTTCAAGAGCTCCTCATCCGTTCGTCGCTGCTAAGGGTCCATCTTCATGCAACTCTCTAGGAATTCTATAGTAAGTGTTGGCCAGGATTCTAAGTGTTTTTACAAGCCTATGCTTTCTTCTGTAGGGAACTTGAGTAAATTCTTGTGGTGTCTAGAGCATAGTTTTCCCATCATTTTGATAATCAAATAAAACTTATCAATATCACTGTTTCCGGAAACAGTGGATCTCCCACTGTCATCTCGGCGATTAGGCATATCTCCCGTAGAACTGATAGTCTTGTAAAACCGAAATCACATAATTTAACAACACTAGTGAAGATACTAGCACATTTTCTGGTTTCACATCTCTATGTACGATATGATTGTTATAACAGTAATTAATTCCCCTGGTTACGTGGAGTATTCTTTGCCTACACCTTTCATCGCCCAATCCTTCCGGCATGTTATCCGTTTCATCCAATACGGTACCTTCTAAATATTCAAATACCAAGTGAAACCATTTTTCGTACCGAAAAACCTCTATCATTGCTACCAGATTTTCATGTTTCAGTCTCTTAAGCATTTGAATTTTCCTAAGAGCCATTTTTCTAATTGGGGCTTCTTCATTCTCCAGAAATTTCTTAATAGCTACAATTTGATCGATTTCCTGATGTCTACATTTCATCACCAAGCCATAAGAACCTTCGCCAACGGTTGCCAAATGTTCGTATTTTTCCATTTTCTATTATCCTTTAAAAATGTACATGTGGATGAAAATGAAATCACCTAAAAAATAATGATATAAAATTCTGCATTAACACTTTTAGACTGACATTTTCATCTAAATAATCGGTAAAAAATGTTATTATTGTTAATTATATTATTATTTTGTAAAAATTTATCTCTTATTATTAACAACTTTATCATTTTTTTTTCAAAATTTATGTTTTTAGTATAAGAGCCACTATTGATCTGTATATTATTTGTACATATCTAGCATGTAATATAAAAAACTTCTTATGATTTCGTTTCTATGACGTTATATATATATATATATATATATATATATATATATATATATATATATATATATATATATATATATATATATATCGGCTGTCGTCGCCTTCCTTCTTTCAGCCAACGTTTTCAGTCGGTTATATCCGGCTATTCTTTTTCATCTCCAAGGTCTCGTCTTTCCATGGCCTCGTCCACTTCACCGCTCTATGATCTTGATCTATGAGGTCTGCCTCTTTTTCCCATTGGGCTCCAATCCACCTTGTACAATCTGCAGTCCTCACTTGTTTATACTAAATTAAACGTTTTTCTTCAAGGTAGCTTAGTATCTCTTATTCTACTGATATTTTTTTTTATATTTCTTCCTTTAGAATACGATTCAGTCTTGATACTCTACAGATTCTTGCTTTTTTTCTGAACTCCATTTCGGTTGCCACAATTTTGGACCAGTTTCGTTTGTTTATTGCCCAATTCTCTCCTCCGTAAGTCATTATACTACGTACCAAGATGTTATATATTTTCTTTCGTTGTATTGCTGGTAATCTATCTATCCCATAGTATCCCGTTCATTTGTTTGATACATGTTCTTGTCTGTGCTAATCTGTTGGTTATCTCTTACTTAGTGGTTTCATTCTTTGCAAGTATTTGAATTTTTCAGTGCCTTTAATTTCCCTACCTTGGTTCATTTCCAAGTATCCCACTGGTTCATGTTCTATTGTTAAGTATTCGGTATTCTATAGGTTTATTTCCAGTCAATTTTTTGTGTGTTGCCCTTCTAGTTTTCGGAGCATATATGATAGATCTATCCTCTAAATAAATTGTATTATTCATGATGCAATGTTTAAATATGTACTTTTAATGCAAGATATAAAAAAAAACATGCTGAGCTATGTTCTTAAATCAGAACTGCCTATGTGTCTTAAAAGAAAAGTCCTTAATCAGTGGGTGTTGCCAGTACTTACATATGGTGCAGAGACATAACACTAACCAAGAAAGTAAGAAATAAAATTTGTGTTACCCAAAGAGCCATGGAACGATCGATGTTAGGCATTTCTCGTAGGGATCGGATCACGAACAAGGAAATAGGACCTAGAACAGGAGTGACAGATGCCATAGAAAGAATTATGACTATAAGTGGAACTGGGCGGGGCACATAGCTAGAATGTCGGATAACAGATGGACATAGCAAATAATACAGTGGAGACCGAGACAAGAAGCACATCGAAGTAGAGGTCATCCACCAACAAGATGGTCTGATGACATAAAACGGATCGACAAAAATTGGATGCAAACAGCACAAAACAGAAATACATGGAAAAGACTGAGGGAGACCTATATCCAGCAGTGGATAGATCCGGGTTAAATGATGATGATGATGATGATGATAAAAAAACTTTAAATGTCAATTAAAACGCAAAATTAGGTTACATACTTTTATATCAATCTCTTTCTTCATTAGTTACCTCAAATATATTTTTTAATTTAAGATAATATATTTAATAATATATTTTTTATCAATAATTTTGTGCTTTTAGGTCCTCTAAGATCAATTTTGAATTGGGGCCCATTATACGTTTTAGGAAAATTATCTTTTTGCTTATATATTGGACATTCGGTATATCAAAATATAAGAATAGGAATTATGAGAACACCTGAATATCCAAGCTACTTTAATTTGGTAAGATATAATAACTTATTACTAGAAATATTTTCTTATTAAATCCTTTTGACGATCTCGTTCGGTTTATATTTTTTTGTTTCCTCTAATGAGTCACTCATTTCTTAGTTCTTTTCAGTGCCATCTCTTTTTCTCCTGTATTAATTTTATTCACAAGAGTAAAGACGAACTACTATCAGACGTCCATACCATGTCAACTTTGTAATAATTTAGAGTTCGTCAGCACTGGGGAATCGCTTAGGAAATACTTTTCTCTCTGTATCGTGCTACAAGCTTATGGGCAAATGGTGTTACACCTCTAGATGGAAGAACATTGTAGTTGCAGCACAAATCTTACCGTATAACCTTAGTTTGTATAATCTTACCTTAGTTTTGCTGCAGATATCTAGTGATTTTCTTATTAAGCATATTGTAGGTGAGCTTGTTGGGCTTGCATTCATGTGTATTGTGTGTTTGTGTGTTGTTTGTAAGAATAAGAGCTTACCCATCTAGTCTGTCCTGTGCTCGTTAGCTCACTAGTAGGTGTACTCACTAGCTCACTAGAGCGAGGGGAGCTCAGCTACAAAGAGCTCTCCCACACAGTTTCTGACCGTCACGTATAAATTGTGATACTTAAACTTGGTTAAAATAAAAGTTGATTATTTCTGAAAGCTTGAAAAATAACACCGTCTATTAAAACATTTCATGCCAGTCTGCTGTATGCAAGATAAAAATATTTTATATTCTTTAAATTACTTCCTTTATATAAGTTAGATGTCATAAATGTCATGCTCCAGTTTAAAATACTGCATGCCTGCTATACAGATTGGGCCTGCTATAAGATGTAAGCTGAGCTATAACAATATGTCATACATAAAACAGTTATTCTTTTTTTCGTCAATATTCTTACGGATGTCATACTATTTTCTTATTTGGGAAAAATAATTAATGTTGGTAGTTCTAAGATTCTATATTTTTGTTATTCGCAGTGGCGAATGGATTAAGTAGGAAAAACATTGATGAAACATAAACATTTCCAAAATTAACATTAAAATTAATTTTTAGGTTAAGTTGCTGTCTTCGGATGTATTAATAGGTTTCCTAGGTGCACTCTGGTTAAGTCTGTTCTTCGAAATGCCTTTCAACGAACTTGTCAACAGACTATCGAAGGGAAGTAAAAGACCTGTCGAGAAAAAGGAAAATTAAACGATGAAATATATATTCTATGTGGAATAAAGAATAAGTGTACAAACAACAAAAATCATCATAATGATTGATTATATCAGTGTTCACTCCAACTCATATTGAAAATTTGTACTTATGTAGTCAATAAGAAAAATACATTTTTTAAAATATAACTCAACTGCAATTTTCTTTTCTTATTTTAAACAATATTTTAGGAAGGTAAACCACATTAGGCAAATTGCAATCAAATATGAACAGTAGAGAGCAATCCAATTTCTCTAGAGCTATGAGCAGTTACAAAAGCTAATCAAAGACAAAGTAGGAATTACAACAAAGCATATTATGTTAATCAATATACATAAATATATGAATTATAAAAAGAAGATGGTAACTTTAATATTAAAGAAAATAATAAAAAAGAAAAGAAATGACTGAAAATCTATTGTAGAATTTTTTGAGAATTCTGGATAAGACTTCTTATTATGTCATCTTCTAATGAAGGTTTGCGATCACGTATTTAAACGCTTTGCTATCTTTTACTACGTGAAATAACTGTTTAATACTGAGGTTAGTTCAATCTCTAATATTCGTCAACCAAGATTTCTTCTTCCTTTCCTTTGCTCTTCTTGCATGATAACTTATAGCAGAGAGTATTTATCGTTTCGAAGTATGTGGTACAGATACGATGTTTTTCTTATTTTTTAAGTCTTAAAATATCACCAATAATTCCCTCATTATTTTGCTACAATTTTTAAGAAAACACTAAAATATATTTGACTTGTTTTCGCTATATTTTAGTTCAAATAAAATGAGTTTTTTGTCTCGTTCGTTTTCCGTTAAGACGCCCGCTAAAACAGGTTGTTTCTTTTGGTATATAAACACGCTTCGATATTATTTTACCGCCAATTCTCCTCTTCAAGAAAAAGTGGCTTTGTAGAACCCACCGTTTGGGACGTTTAAAGTTCGTTAAAACCGTTAAAATATAGTGGTTCCTGTTTCTGTAAAAGGTTAATTTAAAGCGGCATTCAGAGACTTTGTCCTCAATCCTCAAGTGGGATAGTCATCCCAGCGGCACCAGACTTTCCAACAGCAGTTACATACAAAATTTCTCTCTCGGTTCTCATGCACACCAGACTTCGTTCTCAGTCGCCGTACCTGGCAGTAGGTATATACTAGCCTTCACAGACTCCGCTCTCTATTCCCGTACTTAACACTAGGTACATCTCTTCTTCTTCTTATGTTGTCTATCCGTTACGGATGTTGGACACTAACATGGCTATTCTGACTTTGTTGACTGCTGCCCTGAAAAGTCCGGTAGTGGTTAAGTTAAACCATTTTCGCAGGTTATGCAGCCAGGATATTCTTCTTCGTCCTGGACCTCTTTTCCCAAGCACTTTACCTTAAAGTATGGTCCGAAGTAGGTAATATCGTTGTTTATTGCGCATTATATGGCTCAGGTATTCCAGTTTGCGACGTTTTATGGTTACTAGTTCGCGCTTTTTACCCATTCTATGTAGTACTTCTTCGATGGTAACTCTGTGTATCCAGAAAATCCTCAACATGCGTCTATAGCACCACATCTCAAATGCTTCGAGTCTCTTCAGTGATGCTTCAGTTAAGGTCCATGACTCCACGCCATATAAAAGAACAGAGAATACGTAGCATTTTAGTAAATTAACTTTTATTTCCAATTTTATATCGTAGCTGTTAAAGATTTTTTTCATTTTGACGAAAGCTAATTTTAGGGTAAGGAAAGGTACATCTCGACCTCTCAAAATTTATGGAAAAATACACCGTTCAACGTGAACTTTCGTTCACATAGCAAAAAGGTAAATAGTTTAGTTTTAGTTAAATACCTTTGAAACAGTGCAACGTAAAATTAAGTGCCCTTAAATTCACTCTTAACATAAAAAAACCAAATTCATGAAAATTAGCGAGAACAACAATACAAACGAAATATTATTGGTAGGCGACTAGCAGATTGAGAGAGTAAAAAAATATGGCAGAATTCCATATAGTCAAGGCTCCTTGACTAAGTCAGAGGATAAGTTTAGCAGATGAAAAACAGGGTTTTCGTAGTGGAAGAGCGTGTACAGATGCAATATTCGTTATAAAGCAAATTACTAAGAAATCACTAGAGTATAATAGACCAGCATTTTTGTGTCTGAATTACCTAAAGAAAGCGTTTGACAGAGGAAGACTTAAATATGTAATACATCTTCTGCATAATAGAGAAGTTTCTCTAAATATTATAAAAACTATCGATAACATTAAGAAAAACAACAAAATGGAAGTCAAAATAAATGGACATCTTACCGAACCTATAGAAATAGGCAGCGAAATAAGACAAGGCGATTCATTGAGCCCCATGCTCTTCAATTTGATCATGGATGAAATCATCAAAAGCGTTAACAAAGAAAAAGGATACAGAATGGGAAACAAAGAAATCAAAATACTCTGTTATTCAGACGATGCAATATTGATAGCCCAAGACGAAGACAGTCTGCAAAGACTGGTCCACAGATTTAACATTAGAGCAAAAGAATTTAATTCGACAATCTCATCTTAGAAAACTAAAACAATAGTAGTCAGCAGAACCAACCAGATTTAAAATAGAAGTTGATGGCACCAGTATTGAACAAGCAATGGAAATAAAATACCTGGGAATTACACTGTCTAGCTGTGGAGACCTGGACAAAGAAGTAAGAGATCAAGTACAAAAAGCAAATATAGACTGCAGGATGCCTTAATAACACTGACATTGTTACACTCATTGAGATGAATCAAAATGAAGAATTTACAGAACCAGTGTAAGACCAATAATGACATATGCCTCAGAAACAAGATCGGACACAGCCACAACGCAAAGGCTACTGGAAACTGCAGAGGTACGAGTACTAAGAAGAATTACAGGAAATGCGCTGAGAGATCGAAAGAGAAGTGAAGACATTAGAAGAAAATGTAACGTACAGTGTATAAATAAATGGACACAAAATAGAAAAAAAGAATGGAATAACCACATAAGAAGCAGAATGAAGGATACCCGTGTCGTCAAAATAGCAAGAGATAAGTCACCATTCGGCAGAAGAAGTATCGGACGACTGTGCAAAAGATGGAGTGACAACCTTCTATAGAGTTATTAATCCGCTAATGAACAAGCAGAATAGCTTATCAAGAGAAAGAAGAAAAGAAAAATAAAATATTTACTTTTAACTAGGTTTAATTTAATTACTTTTTTTTGATAACTAAAAATCATATATTATATTTTAAATTTAATACGTTTTGTTCAGTTGTTCCTTCAGTCTTGATAATGATAATTTTGCTGAAAATTAAATACATTTCGCTAAAACGCTTATTAATCTTATAAATTATGCAATAATTTCAAACGACTGCAAACAAAATTAAATAACCCTATTGGTAACCATCTAAAATGGGTACCTACCTACATATCGCTAGAAGATTAAATAATTTTAATAGATCATGTAAAATTTTATCATGGCCATTATTATAATTTTCACAAACATTTTACACGTACAGTTCTGCAATTTTTTCTGGTTATAATTTATTAAATAATGGTTTGGAATTCAAAATAGACAAACACTGAAACATTATAATATAACAATCTAAGCCTTATAAGTATAAAAACGATTTGAATTTCGAAATACAGCATCTACTTCAAGTAACTTGACATTGATTACATAGAAAAATGGTGGTGATGGAATAGTACCCTAGATTTTGTTCTAGTGCTGGTTAACAATGACACTCTTCAGAAATATGTCGTTACACTAGTTCTGCAAACATAAAATTATAATGTTATTTCAAATTGTTATTTTGATAGTTTCTACAAATATTTTTGTGAGTTGTCGAATAACAGGTAAGAGCTTGATTATTTAATTAAGATTAAATTTTTTCTGACCTATACAGCAAACAAATACGTATTTTATGATATTTTCATAAAATAAAATTTTCAATAAAAGAGTTTTTTAATAATTTAAGTTATGTATACCAATAAGTCAGAAATATAAGGACCCTTAAGCTAGCGGGGACAAATGAGCGGAATTCAATTTAACCAACGCAATATTTTTTCACCCATTTTTCACTAATTCATTACCACCCTAATAATTTTTCACCACCCAAACAACTTTAAGGGGAGCGATTCTGCTGGCTTAAGGTTCAAGCTAGCAGAATTCGGAAAAAAAACTTTTCGCCTGTGGCATATTTTTTCACCCATTTTTCACTAATTTATTATCACTCTAATATTTTTTCACCACCAAACCACCCTTAAGGAGAGCGATTTTGCTGGCTTAAAACTAGTAAAATTTAAAAAAAATTATAATATACCACAGTGCTCTGCTGGATTTTTATGAATTTATTACCACCTTAGTAATTTTTCACCCGTTAACTAACTACCCCTTGTGGAAAGTCAATATTTCTGTTAGATTATCTACTTATAACTGAAATAAAAAACTATTTTTTAAATGTTTACTTAACTGTAAACACCCTGCTAGCTTAATATTTGAGTCAGCGAAATTAGAAAAAAAATATATTTTTGAAATACCACAGTGTTCTACTAGCGTTTAACGAATTTTATTACCACCCTAGTTATTATTGACTGCCTCTTATGCAAAGCCAATAATTCTGTTATTTTAAAATTTAAGGTGAAACAATATTTTTTTACAATTTCACTCTTCTCTACTTATAACTGAAATAAAAAAGTGTTCTGTTAAATTTAGACTAAACTTTGATCACCATGATAATTTTTCACCCCTAAACCAATCTTATTTGGAAACGTTCCTGCTAGCTTATATTCGAGCCAGTGAAATTAATACAAATTATTTTTTAAATACCACAGTGTTCTACTAGGTTTTTACGAATTTATTACCACCCTAGTAATTTGTCACACTTAACTATAGTTTATTTTTATGAACGAGAGAGTAATTAGCATAATTTTAACTGGTATCTCCGAGCACTCCATGGGCGTGCTCAAGATTAATTGAAAAATTACTTTGAATAATTGTAAAAAATAAATGAATTATTTCAGTGTTATAAAGTGTTATGTGTATGTAAACAAAAGTGACCTCTTTTATCACACACTATATTAGAACTGACTGGCC